TATGAGGTGATATCAGATGGCTACACACCCACAGGATAAATTTGATTGAGCCATTCACCTTGACCCAACTCCCCAAATTTATTCAAATAAAAATATTTTACACAATTATCTTATATTCAATATTTACAGATAGTTGTTCATATAATTATTATATCATTTTTCTTATTTTTATTAGTTTTGTGTCTTGCTCATAACTTTAATAAATTTTAAATTTATTTTCTCAAAAGGCCACCCAAGAGATCAATTTATATTACAGTATTTATTCTAGTATGTATATAAAACAAAACTATTATTTAAAATATTTTAATAAATGAATAGCATTAAAATTTCTTCTAATTTCATTTGTTTCTGAGTTTGCTAAGGTATATTAAAGTACATTGTCAAATGGTACGGCTGCTATTATATAAGACCCTTCATACGCCAAATTAAATTTACTCGTAACTTTGTTATCTGCATCTGATTTACTAGATCTAGAAACTTTTAAAAACTAAATCGTCAACGTGATATGTCATTAATCTATTGCGCTTATTAAACTTTGTGTTTCTAATGCAACTTGCCTCTTTTAAATTATTTCGCACTTGTTGTCTAATTTGTGCGACATTATGTTTGTTTTTACTATTTAGTTTAAGTGGCTGCTTGAAATAATAAATGTGATTGAGTCAGGCGTTTTATAATTCTCTTTGATTCAATTTATTACAAATATCGCACATGAACATTATTTGTTAATGAAATAATATAAAAAAATACTTAATATAATATTTTCTTAAAAATTTAACTTAAATCTTGCTCATAACTATCGATTATATTGAGATCATTAGATGGAACATCCTTTAATTAATTGGTGAGATCTTATAAAATGTTACTGCCGGGCTAGCATGAGCGGGGGACAAAAATTTTATCCCCCGATTCTATCCACTGACAAGAGAAAAAATTATCTAATCCCTATGCCAGAGCACGGCAACAGGGGAAAGGAGAAGTATATCTCCGTTTGACATAACGAGTAGACATATAACCCCGTCCGTAGCATTGGACCAATGATGAAAGAGAAAAATTATGATATTTGAAAGTGACAATTTTAACCTAGTTTGTTGGACGTGGGTTTAAGTTTATTTTTTAGCATAATAATACGAAAAAGATGTCTCGAGCCTATTGGAGCATCATTTTCGCATCAGAATGTGAAAAACAAAACAGAAAATTAAATCGGCGATTGATACGTGATCAGAGTAATCCATTCGAATTCCCCGACAAGGAATTTCTGCGCTTGATCCGGATGCACAAAGATTGTGCTATGTATTTATGTGAAGAACTCCGCGAGGCTGTAAAACCTATTAATTCTGTGAATGGACTACCAGTACATATAAAAGTAAGCAACGATTACAACATATCTTATCATTATCTTGTGCAAACATATCGTATATATACAATACTTTTGGCTAACTTTACTTAATATTTTTCTAGGTACTCACATCTATCAGAGTATTGGTAGATGGTAGTTACCAGAGAGGTACGGGTCAAGACCATGGAATGACTATTGCTCAAACAACAGTCAGTAAATACCTGACCCAAGTTACTGGGGCTATTGTTAGAATGTAAGCGACAATGTACTTTAATTAGCCTCTTATGTAGGTAAATAGAATAGGTTTCAATGAGTAAACTTCTTGCATTTCATTTTTAGACTAATGCCTAAATGGATATCATTTCCGGGCGTAGGACAAACAAGGCAAAATGTAGCTAGAGTATTCCTAGCAAAACATTGGTCTGCCAGATATTCTTGGGGCTATTGACTGCACCCATGTCGATATTTTTCCTCCACCATTACCGAATGGGGTTCAGTACATGAACAGAAAAGGGCGATCTACAATAAATGTTCAACTGGTAAGGTACAAGTTCTAGTTTTTTAAAAATCATAATATTCAATTTTTTTTTAAATAAACAGTATTAGTTATATTCAAGACTAATTTTTCCTAGGAAAAGGTGAGACAAAAGACTATTATCATAACTTTTTTGTCCTAGTGTTAGATCCTGCAACCTTTCAGATTGCAGTCCACCTTTGCGCTACTGAGACTATGGATTAAATGTTACAGGTTGTGGATGTTGAGTGCCGAATCATTAACATAAATGCACGGTATCCAGGGCGAGTCCACGATCAGTTCATATTTAACAACTCAAAGGTTAAATTAGAAATGAAACGTCTGTATGATAATCGGTCAATACTATCTTTTAGGTACTTATAATGTTTTAAATTAAAATTTCAAACTTATAGTTCAAAATTTTAAATTAAGAAATACGTTAACTTTTAGCAAACCTTGTAAAATATCTAAAAGGCTAATGTGCATAATATTAGGAATTAAAAAAACACAAGACACATAATCATAATTTTTTTATTGTTTGTATTTTTGTTCTTCATGTACAATTATTAAAATTTAAATTTTTGTGAAAATCTGAAAAGAGAATTACAAGCATGAATTGATACCTATATTATAAAATACAGCATTAAAAGAAACAAATATTTTACAGGGGACTCGGGTTATGCATTAGAGCCTTGGCTGATGACTCCAGATTTGGAAGCTGCACCAAATAGTTCTGCAGCAAAATACACACAATGGTATTGCCAAGTGAGAAACTGTGTGGAAAGGGCAAATTGGTACCTCAAAGGCACATTCCGAAGCTTGGGAATTGACAGGGTACTCCACTACAGTCCGGAGAAAGCTTCACAACTAATATATGCTTGTGCAACTCTATACAATATCATGCTACATTATAGGTATGATTTGTAAATATATTTACATTATAGATTACATTATACACATAATTATTATTGGAATGTTTGTTTACTTTTGATAAACTTTATATTTTTTTTGCAGAATTCCAATGGAACAACCAATGGTCAACTCAGATGTAACAAGTGAACAAAGTAATCCTCTCACGACATCTGTGGATCAAACCAGGCTGTTGACAATTGCCCGGCAAAAAAGAGAAAGATTAATAAATACATACTTCAGCTAAAACTTATTTGTATGATTACCTTTTTATCCTTTCAAGTTTATTTCTATGACCTAGGTGGGCATTCTGTGCACGTAACAATTGGTTTTATTCACACAGAAGGCTATTTTGCTTTTTGAGCCTTTTATCTATACTATGAAAGATAAGGTCAAATTTATATAGACTAGCAAAACAATATTAATCATGAAAGGAATAATAGCATTTCTTCCATAAGTAATGAAATAAAAAAAAGAATTGTTACTTGTAAACATACATACATACATAAACACTCACGCCTGTCACCCAGAGGGGTAGGCAGAGACTACAGACTTCCATTTGGCACGATCCTGACACACCTCTCTCGCCTCCTTCACATTCATACACGTTCGTATACATGCTCGTCGGTTAAGAGTACTCCTAATTTGGCACGTTTTCAATAAATCGTTGGTCGATAAATTTTCGCCTAGGACCTCCCTTTCCGACTCTGCCATTCACTTCTGCACCATAAATTTTCTTTGTCACTCTTTCCTCATTCATTCTTTCCACATGACCAAACCAAACCACCGAAGCATTCCTTTCTTAATCCTGGTCACAACATCATCTTGCAAACCACACTCTTTTCTTATTAAACAATTTCTTACCCTGTCATTCAGATTCAGCCCTAACATACTCCTTAACGACCGCATTTCTACTGCGTTTATTCTACTCGTGCTTCTTCTGCCACACCCAACTTTCACTACCATACGTTAAAGTAGGCACCAACACAGCATTGTGAATTGCCATAAGTGCCTTTTTCGACACATTTTGACTCTTCACAATAGAGTGCAGGGCCCCATTTAGTCTATTTCCCGCATTCACTCGTCGTTCTATATCCTTATCATATCTCCCATCCCTGCTAAATACGCAGCCCAAATATACAAACTCATCTACTTGCTCGATCAACTCCCCTTCTATTCTTATTTCACAAATCGTTTTACTTTCTTCTCTTTCAAAAACCATAACCTTCGTCTTACTTGCGTTCACTTTCATACCCCTTTCTTTTAATGATCTGTTCATTCATGTAACCATCATTTGCAACTCGGCCGCCGACGACGCAAGGATAACTTGATCATCGGCGTACAAAAGGCATTTGACGGTTAACTCACCCATTCTTAATCCGCATTCTTCAACTTTCAAATTTTGCAAACAACTGTCCATAAATAGGTTGAACAGCCACGGGGAAGCCACACAGCCCTGTCTGACACCTTTATGGATGTCAAACCAGTCCGAGTAGACCCCGTTGATCCTAACACAAGCACTAGAGTCCCTATAAAGGGACTCAAGCCAGCGCCCAACCCAAATGACTTCAGTGTTTGCCATAGCACATCCCTATTCACTCTGTCATAGGCCTTTTCCAAGTCCATGAACGCACAAAAAACCTTTTGGTTTTTGGCCAAAATCTTCTCCGCGATCATGCGCATGGAAAAGACTTGATCTGTACATCCCATTCCCTCTCTAAATCCCGCTTGCACATCCCAAATTTTTCCATCAGTTTCTTTCATGACCCTTTCAATCAGTACCTTTTAGCATACAGTTTTCCCACAATGCTAAGAAGGCTGATGCCACGGTAGTTTTTACAGTCCTGCTGCGACCCATTTCCCTTATGTACTGGGACTATCACGGCTTTGCACCAGTCTACCTGTACCCGCTTCAGTTCCCAGCATAAATTAAACAAGGTGTGCAGCAGGCCTGCCACCACTTCCTCTCCAGCACTGCCACTACTTGTAAACATGCATTATTTTCTTGCTGGAGGCGATTAAAAACATCATGCGACTGTTCTTTTTTGGTTTGGGCTGTAGCATAGCGGGTGGAATGGGAAGGGGCTGAATGGCTGGTGGATGATTTCCTGATATAAAATTAGAAACCTAAGCTTGATAACATGCTTTCATAGACAAGGTTACACAAAGGAATGGCTGGTGGATGATTTCCTGATATAAAATTAGAAACCTAAGCTTGATAACATGCTTTCATAGACAAGGTTACACAAAGCACAATTTTAGAACTAAATAAGGACACACATTTGCCTGACTTATTGAAGACTCTTCAGGCCCAATACCAGTGGAGGACTCATGCCCAATAATGTTTAAAACCTTTGTGAACATTTCAGACACAGTCGGGACTGTTGCTACATTGCCCGTAGTGCTGCGTCCACGAGCTGCCGCCGCGTTCTCGATACGCGCACCCTTTTTTAAATCTTTCCAAGTCTGCAATTGAAAGAATATTCAAATACTAATTTAATTTAAACCTGAAAATGTAATATGTTATGGACTTACCTGCTTCCACTGTTCAACCGTTCTATCTGGCCCATACTTTTTTAGTATGTCCCTGAGAATTTGCCACTCGGATTCAGCCCTTTTAGCTCCTAAGGGTCCTGTGAACTCACCAGTGGCAAGATGGTTGTGAGTCGACATAAAGTTCACCAACACATTTAATTGCTTTTTGTTACTTCTGGTTCTGAATGAAAAAAAGAAGAATTGTGAAATAATTGGCGATAAATATAGACGAACAAGTAATAAAATAGTACCAATTATTTGTAAACAAAAAGATTTGTAGAGACAGTTAGTTATGTTTACTTTTCGTTTTCATAAAACAATAGTTATTTTATTACATTTAATGTGATAGTACTTACTTTTTGGCGCTCATTTTAATATATCGACCTCTCAGTATTAATTTTATTTATATACCGAAAACGAAAACTTGTGACGAAAAGAAAAAACTTATAATTGTCTGTAATTGTCAAAACCACGAGCACAGATAAAAAATAATGACTTAGTTGATTAGAGTAAACATCACGGGGAGAGGATAAATTTTTTATCCCTCGTTCAGTTTTATCCACCCTGCGAGCATGGGCCTACTGTGGATATAATATTCACAGTAGATAAAATAGGAGATAAACGTATCCCCGCAATTATTGCCATTATAAGAAAATTACCGAATACATCAAAATGGATATCTACTATAAGTCACGAAGTCATTATTTTTTATCTTTGCTCGTGATTTTGACAGTTTACAGTGTTTGTTTTTCAAAGAAATAGAATAACATTTTCTGTTCTTCAAACCAATTTATTTACCTTAAAATGAGTTCCAAAAAGTAAGTAGGTATGTATTATCACACAAAATGTTGTAAAGTAACTATTGTATTATGAAAGCGAAATGTAAACTTAACTCATTTTCTCTACAAGTCTTTTATCTTTACAAATAATTGATACTAATTTATGACCTGTTATTCTGCATTTAAAGCCAATTATTTATTGTTCGGATACAGTCAATATATATTTGACCTTATTTTTCCGAGTATAGACGAAAGGCCGAATGAGCATATTTTGTATAAGCACGATCAATTACTTCGTGCACAGAATGCCCACCTAAGTCATAGATATATAAACTCAAAAGGATGAAAAGGTAAATATACAAATAAATATTAGTTGAAGTATGTATTTATTAATCTTCTATTTCTGTTGAGTAATTGTCAACATCCGGGTTTGCTCCAAAGATGTGACGAGTTATCTATTGGTAGTTCCATTCGAATTTTGCAATTTACAAAATAAGTTAATGATTAGTAAACAAGCATTCCAATAGTAATTATGTATGTGAGGATATACTCAAATATAATATACACATTATTTACAAAAAACAACTTTGATGTTCTATGATATTGTAGTGATGCATAAGCATAATATTTTAGTTGTTAAGCTTTCTCTAGACTGTGGTGGTGTTACTATGTCAATGCCCAGGCTTTGGAATGTGCCTTTGAGATACCCATTTTTCTTTCCACACAGTTTCTCACTTAGCAATGCCAGTTTTTAGGTATATTTTTCTTCAGAACTATTTGGCAGCTTTCAAATGTGGAGTCATCAGCCAAAGTTCTGATGTTAAGCCCAAGCCCCTGTAAAATATTTGATTCTGTTAATCTCATTAACGCCTTATAATAATATTGGTGTCAATTAATGGTTGCTTATTGTCATTTTAGATTTTCAGAAAGAATAGTACCTACTAATAAAGATATGATGAAGCATGAAGAATGAAAATTTTATGATTTCAAATAAAACAAAGAATAAATAATTTAATGATCATGAGTCTTTTGTTATTTTTATTCCTAATATTATGTATATTATCTATGCCTTTAAAATGTTTAACAAGCTTTGCTAAATAATTAACATATTTCTTAATTTAAAACTTTGAATTGTAACTTTATTAAGTTTGATAACTTTAATTTAAAACATTATATCTAAAATATAGTATAGACTGATTCTACTGATCATACAGACATTTCATTTTTGATTTAAGTTTGGAGTTGTTAAATATGACTTGATCATGGACTCGCATTGGATATTGTTCATTTATGTCAATGATGCGGCACTCAACATCCACAACCTATCTTATTATATCACGGCAATTAAGACTCAATACCTCAATGGTTAAGGGGTGACTACAACCTGAAAGGTTGTACAATCTTTAACTGGGACAACAAAAGTCTCATGGGACCCTGTAAGACTATTGTGGCACATAAGCATTATCGTTATTTTTGGGAGAAAGGGGAATATAAGATGAATATAATACTTCTATTCTTTATTAAGAAAAAACTTTATTATTAGGTCTTTAAAAAACTCTATAACTTGTTTGCTATTACCAGTTGAACAATTATTGTAGATCGCCCTTTTATTGTACTAAACCCCAGTCTAGAATGGTAGGTAAAATATATCAACATGGGTGCAGTCAATAGCCCTTAGAATATCTGGCAGACCATGCTCTGCTAGATATCCTCCAGCTACATTTTGCCTTGTTTGTTATACACCCGGAAACGATTTTCACTTCAGTATTAATCAAAAATAAAGTGAAAGAAGTATATGCGCTGAAACTAGTATTTACCTAAACAAGAGGCTAAAGTATATTGGTCCCCACATTATAATGATGGCCCCAATAACTTAGTTCAAGTATTTGCTGATTATTTGTTGTTTGAACAACATCCATTCCATGGTCTTGACTCGTACCTCTCTGGTAACTACCATCAGAGATTGTATGTCAAGGGTGTCACCCCAACCAGATAGACATACATCAGATTTGATAGACCACAAATCCTCGTTAAAGAACATTAATTCCTACCAAGGATGATATGTGAGGCTACTGAAATTAAAAAACATCCTAATTTCAGTAGAGAAGGCGGTTGGGTACTGCCACCTGCTTGGGACACTATATTTAATAAAATTAAAACAAACCCCAAGCATACCACTGCAAGACTTAAAGATAGAGTAAGTTCAATCTGCGTAGATTGGACTATAAAAATAATAATAAAAAGCTGAAGGTACTCCATGTCCCAATACTGACATTGGGATGGCAGTCACCTCAGTACCCCGTGACCATGGGTGCTATAAAGCACCTGAAACGTCAGGAATTAATAATAATAGTATAATAATAATATAGCCATTTATTTCCGAACTTTGGGGTTACATAATATTTGTGTTTGAGTTCCTATTGTAATACTAGTTAAAGTAAGTCCCTCTGTTCGGTGTGCCTTTTGGCATAGGCCTCCAAAAGAAAAATCACCCGTCGGGAATTAAAAGTTGAAGAAATTAAAAGCAATAAAATTGGTAAAAGTAGTCGTTAAAAAGCTGTATTTGTGAAAATAAAAAGCTTTATATCATAAAAATCCCGACTTTTTTTAAACCAATTCCTTAACCATTTCATTATTTTAATTGCATATTATCATTTTCATATGCTTTTATATGTGGGCACCCATGGCCGAGGTGTCTATGAACAGTGGGCATCCCCCTTTGTATACGAATTTCAATATATGTCGCATTAATTCTTTCTTTCGGAGACTTTTTGTAATTAATTAAAGTTCTTTTTATTCTACTTTGAATGTCTATTTGAATTTTAATAAAGTTATCCATTTTAAATTAAAAGCGACTGAGACTTAGAAACAAAATTATTACAGTACAGGATGACACAAATCTTAATGTAAATTATTGTATACTAGTGAATACAAGTATATTATTTCATTTACAAATTAAAATCATAGGCCGTTCAAAACTAATTTACAAGTAAGTTGACACGTAGAACAAATCGTATATGTTTAATTTTCTTACAAGTTATTTCGTCTGAAGTTAACATACAGAAAATTTTACAAGTTCCAAATAAGACAAAATTTTTCACAATTGTTTAAGAAATAACACATTAAGGCGAAATCCGACATAGGTTTCCCGTATAATCACTTTCCCGTATAATTATTCTAAGTCCCAAATAATTGAACATTAAATTTTTACAAGTTTAAAATTTACTTAACTATCAGGCAACCTTGCAACACTTTACTTAATGTCCAAATACAACTGTAACATAAACAATATAAAGTACTCGCGGTTTTTTTCTTCACTTCACATATACACACCAAACCTCCTTATGATGTAATTATCTCCAATTACGATTGCTCGAACTTCACTCTTCCACCAATGTGCTGCTGACTGACAGATGACGTTTGCTCCTTGTCACTGTCACTATTTTCGTCGTTTGACTTCACTTCCCTCTAGCGCAGCTTGGTTGTTACTACACCGACCTTCCCTTCCCTCGTCCAATGAAGTTGGATATACACTACACGCCCACTTCACTGGGAAGCACTTCAGTGACGGTCCGCCACTGCTTTCTGTGTTTTATTCAAAAAAAACTCCGGAAGGCGCAATGATTGACACTTCCTTAATATTCGGCTCGAAGGAACTCACTCTTCGTTTAATTAATCAGGATATCCCAAGTATATCTAATCAAGACGTGCCAAGTACGTCCAGTCAGGACATACCAAGGAGCACTGGACTTGAAGTAAATACAGAATTACAGAAAAGTGTTGCTCAAGAAAATTCTGCAGACTCTAATTTTTTGTAATAAACATTCTAATAAAAATCAGCGAAAAAGAAAACAGACCGACCACTGATGAATTCGATAAAGAGATGCTAATGATGTTCAAAGATAATGCCAAACTTTTTAAAAATGATGACATGAATTTTTTCATGTCTCTCTTGCCAATAACAGAAAAGTTTACAACGCATCAAAAATTGATTTTCCGTACAGAAATGCTCAAAAAAGCAATGGAAATTAGTAATATGCACAATCCATAACCAGTAGACCGAATTCTTCAGATTCGTATTTTTCTCAGCAGTCTGAATCGATTTTACACAGTCAAGATCCGATCAACGTACATGAATATGAAACTTTCCCTTACTTATCTTCACGCACAATCCCTAACGGGGTAGCCAGAGAGAACAGATCGCCAAGTGTCACGATCCTTACATACCTCTTTCGCTTCTTTCAGGTTCATTAACTTCTTCATACATGCACGTCTAGGTATCCGAGTACTCTTGACCCTCCCCTCTTCGAGCAATTTGCTCACATGGTCTTCGAAAGTTAGTCTCGGTCTACCTCGACACCTTTTAATATTTACTTTCGCTCTATATATTTTCTTCACCATTCGGTCTTCACTCATTCGTTCAACGTGCCCAAACCATTGGAGTACGCCCCTATCAATTTTTGTGATAAGGTCATCTTTCAATCCTGCCATATTGCGAATCTCTTGGTTTCGCTTTCGGTCGGCTATGGTAACGCCACACATTTTACGAAGAGATCGCATCTCCACTGCATTCAAATTGCTTTTATGCTTCTTCTGGCATACCCAGGTTTCGCTGCCATATAACAAAGTCGGTACCAACACTGCGTTATGTATTGCAAGGCGTGCACTCTTCACCACGCCTTGCCTTTTTACTAATGCATTCACGGCACCATTGACTTTGTTTCCGGCAGCGACACGCCTATCCACATCTAAATCACATCTTCCATCCCGGCTGAAAGCACTCCCCAAGTATACAATTTCATTTCATTTCATTTCATTTAAACTTGAATCATTGAAACTTTCCCTGATATATGAAATACCATTTCACAAGAATGTGTGACGTACCACGTACGTCCCACTATTTCTTATACATCAAACTCCGGATCAAAAATTATTTCTCAAGGATACCAAACCATCCATGGTATTACTAGGAAAGCCAAAGAAGACAAGTAAAATGTGTCCTTCAACAAAATAAATAACTACTTATTCTTTTTTACAAAAAATAATAAAAAGCTAATATAAAAATGTATTGTTTTCTTTCTTACTATTATGTTCCAATAATAGATTGATATTATGTAACTCACCTCAATGTAACAGCAAGTCGTTCCACTGGAGGTGTAATATCTCGATATATGGAGCAGTTTCAGGTGATTTTCCAACTTTGATAAAAGTTTATCAAAAGTTTTTACTTTCATTCTAAAATAATTAAAGGACTTCTCCTCGTCCTGATGTAGCTTTTCAAATAATGTAGAAAATTCACCATTCGTCACCTTATCAGCAACAGTTGGGGGAATGTGATATTTTTTTCTACATTGACGCCGTCTCCGCTTGCGTAAGTATGCTGCAGCAACTAAACAATTTATAAACGGATTCATAATTATCCCAAATCCACTTAGAGACGCCTGTACCGTGGAGCGGTCGGTATCGCACTACGGATGTTTTCATTGGCGCTGATGGTCAGCTCGCTACGCGACTGACGGTACGCGACCGACGTCAGCGACAGAGGAATTCAGGTCTAATAGATAAATGTTTCAAAGTCCTTATCTTGCATTAGATTACGTACCTGTGGAATGATGAAAATTTATTTTTGCATTTGAAATTGTACTTGAAAAAAATTTGTGTAAATAGTTAATAGCAGAACTGTTTTTATTCATAACTGATGAAATCTTTTATCAAACTCAATTTAATGTGCAATGGTAGATTTATTTAAAATTTGACTTCTTTTTCGGTAATAAGTTATTCGGTGCCAATAAGTTCCACTGTATGTAAACGAGAGCAAGAATCACTGCCTTAGATCTAGATAATTTCAAGTCTCGCACAAGGTTGTTTAATTCACTATGGTTGATTAAAAGTGGCGTTTTATTACCTTCCATTATAAAATTGTCATCATTTTGGTCCTCAATAGATAAATATTCTATTTTTGCGACTTGCACTTGGCATACTTTGACATATGGGATGGGGCAGGGTTTCCGAATGTGATATCCGTTTTGAGACTGATGAAAATATTAGGATATTGAATTATATTTTTATTTTTTGAAGTAAAGCCTACAGTTTTTGTCATAAAAAAATAACAATCGTTTTCGTGATTTGAAGGTTCTCTCCACAGCATTGGTTCCAAATTTGGTATAATTTTTTTCTCCCGATGCGTAGCGTATAAGAGTAAGTCTACAATTTTCACAAAAACATGTGGGACCTACTTTTATATTTTAAGTGGGCCAATGTTCGAGATTAATTTATGCGCTCTTTGGGAACAAAAAGTGAGCAAGTAACGAAGGAAAATTACATTTATGGCAAACATAGACGATTCATAGTGAATTGTCATGTGACACAGACAAATCACAAAATAAAGAATTTACATCCCATCCGCCAACAGCATCAGCTAATAGAAACTTTATAGATCGAAGCGACAGTTAAATAACATCATGGAAGAATTAAAACTGGAATTGAAGAGTCAAGCTAGTCAATCCACTGTTCCAAGTGCCCATAAAATACTGCTGTTCTTTTATGCCATACAAACGCGATATGAATGAGGTGGAAATCATAGATTTCCAAATGGAAACATTGACCACGATACCAATAAAAAAAAGTGTAACACTGTTCGCTGTGGGCGTTTGTCCGCTACAGTCGCGATATATTTTCTCGCCGAGCAGTCTTACCTCCGGAAATATTACGCGCTAATATGTACCTTCTTACTTACACACATCGCGCAATGGCGAATAGTTGCATACGATAGCGTACCTTAAAATGGAGGAAGATATAATTTAATAAGATAATGAGTTTAATAATATTCTAACCGAGATAAGTAATGTTGAGAAGTCGGAGATGTGTTTACTAGAGAGGAATACTACACAACCCAAGAAAGAAATGCTTAAAGACTCTAGAGAAGTTCTAGAGTTAGGCGTAATAAGGGACTCCTACAGCTTCTCTTTCGCGGATTTTTGGCGGGCACTTAATCGTTGTGGTTTACTACTCCTGTATTGTTGATTAAATATTGCTTTTTGTAACCAAATCATTAAGAGGAATATTTTCCTGGTACTCGATACTGGCCAAATTACTAATAATAGCGATAGGTCAAAACAACAGTAGGCCAAAATAATATGTGGTATACTAATGCAATCCAGCCGTTGAAACGTTACAAGACAATCGTCACTTTTTTTAGTACTGTACTAAATGTTTCCAATACGTCGATAAAGACGTTTCACTTCAAAAAAAACCCCTTCACTGCTTTTCTTATAGGCGTAGATAACAATATGAAAAATAAAATACCAAAATAAGAAAAGGAAACACAACTTTATTTTTACACAGCCGTATCCGAAGACATTTTTACAGTCTTGTTTTTGCTTGATTTCCTGATTTGCGGCAACTTGAGGTGAATTGTCCGTATGTGTAGCTTTAGAGAGTTGGATTGAGTAAAACGTTTGTCGCATTGAGTGCATGCGTACGGTTTTGCTCCAGTATGAACCTGTGGTATAATGATATTCCAAATTATAATTATTTTTATAGGAAAAAGTGCGACAAACGAACACAGTTCTTCTGATGGTAATTGATTGCAGCAACCCATAGCCATCTAGATCTTTCCTCGATTACGAATCAAAATGCAGATGCGCTGTCATCCGTGAGGACTAAGACGAAACGCCTCGTTTCCAGTAAAAAGAGTCTCCGGTTCTCTTCACCCTCTTTACGCTTGCATTCTGTGAGAGCGTGATCCTATAATGTATAGAGGCTAATGAGTACAATAGTGGGATAGCCAATTTGACTTTCTACACTCGTTAATACAAAACTACAAATAAGAATGAAAGAACCTTTTTACTGGAAAAGAGGTATTCCATCTGAGTCCTAAGGGTAGGCAATGCATCTGCATTTTGATTCTCGATTGAAGATAAGTGTAGATGTATATGGGACACAGTATACACTTACCATAAGATGGACTATTTGCCCAATTGTCACCATCATTGTATAAAAAATTACGATATCGCCATGGCCACGTGTTTGTCATGTGACTAAAGTTGGAGTATTTCATTCTTACTCGTATGATCAGAAAGACCTATTTTACTGGAAACGAGGTATTCCATCTTAGTCATAAGAGGTGGTAACGCATCTGCATTTTGATTCTTAATTGAGGATAGATTTAAATGTCTGTGGGCCACAGTATTCACTAACCATAAGATGGATTATGTGCTCATTTGTTACCCTTATTGTATAAAAACAACGATACTGCCATGGTCACGTGACTGTTACGTGACTAAAAGTCGGAGTATTTCATTTCCAGTCGTATGATCAAATACATATGTGTGATAGTGTAATATATATCAAAGCCATCTATTACAGCGTATAAAACCACATTTCTGAACATAGGCCTGCCCTATAGATTGCCTAACGGGTTTTTTTTCTTAGTTGCTATGCTTGGCGGGCAGGTTGTCAACCGGTGTTTTTGTTATTTTGAGTTGTTATCACAAAGATGCTGCTGCCCATCACCTGATCCACTTTGTCGTCTTTTACGACACCCACGGGACGATATGGGATGGTATATATTTTTACTCCACCCCTGCAAGTCGAGACTAATAGAAAAGCGCTATTCAACGTTTCATCACGTGATAGGAGTTAACGCTTGTCAACTTGGCTATCGCCACAGAAGTGCCAGTAACTCTGGTGGGGAAAACGACATTTGGCGTTTTGTTTCACGATCATGAAAATGTTTGGTGCTTAAAGGTTCTGTTCATGTGGGTAATCATCATAATAAAAAATGTGCGGCACAATTTTTCTTAAGTATTACTTATCTAGCATGCCGTAACAATAAGGAATACAATATTGGGTTTATGATAGTATACGTGATGGGCTAGCCAGCCACTATCATGTTTTAAACAATTTTCCATCTAAATCCGTTTCTGCGGGTAAACGAGTTCTTTGAATTACGCCGACCCCTACGTGGATTACAAGTGTTGGGTATGTGCGTGTATGATTATGTAGTAGAGGTGTAATGCATTGTCTAAGTAATATCCAGTAGGAGGCGCAGTATTGCGAGAGGACAGATCTCGCTCGGAAACCGCGTCACCAAGGCGTTTGTCAAGCCCGTTACCTCGATGATGGCTCTCCCCTAACACAAAAGGGACTTCTGGGGTTCCGAACACTTAGTAATGTAACACTGAGTAACAACATCCACTTAATATAAGGTGGACTGTAAGTTCGTTTGTCAAAACAAAAAATATCCCGATTCATCGATCGATCTATGCAGTACAGTCTATAAAAGACCACTGCTGAATATAGATCTCTTTAATGGATTGTATTATTCCATAGTTAAAACGTCTGGCGAGCGGGTTGTCAACCGCAGCTTTTTATTATTTTGAGTTGTTATCAGGAAGATGCTGTTGTCCATCTCCTCTTTCAATTTTTCTCTGTTACCTCTTACGATAACCACTGAATGATATAGGATAGTGATTATTCTTACACCGTCACTATATGGCAAAAATATCCCTGGGACTTCTCATATACTGATGGGGTTAGAAGGTAGGAATCCGGCATAACTTTTCCGTCGCTCACGCAACAGTGGTTATATCTATGATTAATAAAGTTGTATATGGTATATATGTATGAGTCATGGTGTAATGGAAGCTTAGCTGTATGTGTAGGGTGTGTGTGTATTCGTGTGCGTGTATGTGTATATATGTGTGTGTATGTGTACGTGTTTGTGTATGTGCGTGTGTGCGCATGTGAGTGTGCGCGTGTCGTGCACTGACCCTGAGGTGGCAGTTGAGGGAGGGCTTTTGGCTGAAGCGCTTGCCGCAGGTGCGGCAGACGTACGGGCGCTCTCCGGTGTGCGTGCGTACGTGCACGCGCATTCGCGCGCGCACGGCGAAGCGCGCCGGGCAGTGCGGGCAGCGCACCGGCCGCTCGCCAGTGTGCGTGCTCTGATGGTAGCGTAGCGCCGCCGCTGACTACAAAATTAAATAGTAATAATAATCATTGTTATAGTGCGTTTAGACGCTTTCGATGAAACGACATGCAACGAATACAAGCATGTGAATTGACTGGTTGTGCATGCTTGCGTGTTTGCTCTTGCCGCCGATCAAGACGACTGTCGATTCTCTGACACAGTTCAAATGATGAATGTGCTTGTGTGCCTGTCCACACGCACACGGCAGTACAAATTATTGATATTAAACCAGTCCCTCATACTTTAATAATTGTCTCTTAAATCGGAAGATCAACAAAGTGTCATCAGCAAATAAAACTATATCATGGTTATTTACCACAAATACTCGCGAAAGAACACCGATTCCTACCAAGGATGATACGTGAGGCTATTGAAATTAAAAAACATACTAATTTCAATAGAGAAGGAGGCTCGGTACTACCATCTGCTTGGGACCCTATAATCAATAAAATTAAAGCAAATACCCAAGCATACCACTGCAAGATCTCAGGACATAATCAGTTCATTTTGCATAGATTGGACCATAAACAATAATTAAAAAAACTGAAGGTACTCCGGGTTTAACAATGACATCGGGACGTCAGTCACCTCAGTCCCCCGTGACGATGGGTGCTGGAAAGCACCCGAAACGTCGGGAATTAAAAATAGTTGAAAGTATAATTAAACGCGATAAAATCCGTAAAAGTAGTTTTAATCAATGTGTAGTGTTCGCGCTTTCATATTTTTAGCTCTTCTACTACGTAGTATAAAACAAAGTCGCTTTTTCTGTCCCTATATCCCTATGTAAGCTTAAAATCTTTAAAACTACGCAACGGATTTTGATGCGGTTTTTTTAATAGATAGAGTGATTCAGAGGAAGGTTTATATGTATAATAAAATCCATTAAATGGTGGAGAAATACTGTTATTTTTGAGGTTTTTAATGTGATGTAAATAATTTCATTTTTTCCGCTTATACATTGCAAACGCAGGCTGAACCCTACAAGATTTATCAAAATAATGTATTAAGTATTGTACACATTAAAAAGGTCCACAGAAAACTCCGCGATGGTATATGTTTTTCTCTTATGCTTATCCCACAATAACATTTTCGTATCACTTACTTTTTACGACAAATAATGGCTAATTTACGAAGCGATTTTAACCAATACAGCATTATCCCTTATCCAATTAAATACATTAAATACACTGTTGAGTTAATATGGATCTATAAGGCCTTTTACAGCATATGATTTAAATGAATATTTTCGAAGATATTACAGATTTAAAAATTGCGGGACGTAGCGTTTGCGGTGGTACCAGCCGGACGGGGCGGCGGGAGCATGCCTATAAATAGCGCGTCGGAGGCCGCGGTTCTCCCTACCCCACACGTCTGAGTGAGTCGTCCGGTGAGTCCAAGTCGATTCCGATCAGGTACCTCGCCGCGTGCGGTCGCCTGCGACCCAACTGTGAAGTGCTAGTAATCGGTTGAGTCCATGCGCTCCCAGTGCGTTTTTCTCAAGAACGAAAAAGAAGACCTGTTTTACCTGTTCTCGGAAGTGCTACAGTGTCGTTGTGCGCCTTTACGGCCGCCAGGTGCATCAGGCCACCGGCCCATTGTTGTAGTAGTAGTAGTAGTAGGCCATTGTATAGTGCTAGTTAGTGCCCTACGTGCTCCGGATTTCCATTAACTGTAAGTAGTTTATTGCACACCCGCTGCCTCAGCGTTAAGGCACACACCTCCCCCGCCGAACGGTGGGGGGGCTTGATACATAAGTGTTGTTTAACCACTGACAAGATGGCGGCTATAACTATAGCCGAACTCGCCGACTTCTTCGGTCAAGTGTGCCCCGACGCTTGGGCTGCCTTCCTAGCCGAATCTAGCTCCGAGATGGAGACTGAAAACCACCGACTGGAAAAACCCGAAGACGAAGGCTTCACCCTAGCCTCGGGTAAAAAACGTCCGCCCCGCCGCGAAAAAGGGAGACGAGCCTCACTCGGCCCCTACATCGCCCACTCCGGCTAAAAAAGTAGCACATTCCGCGCGCAAAATGACCGCGATCAAAACGGCGAACCCGACTCCGGCCGTACCAAGGAAGGAGAAGCCGCCGCCCCCAATAATTTTACAGGACAAATCGCGCTGGAGCAACCTATCTAAGTGGACAGACTCCAAAAAGATATCCTGCCCCAAAGTCCACAATGGACCCCAGGGCATCCGTATCCACGTCGCAACGACGTTTCCGCGCTTTAACTGCGCATCTTAAAGCTCAGAATCTGAGCTTTCACACTTACTCCCTCGCGGAGGACCGTAACCTCCGTGTTGTAGTTCGCGGACTCCCTGAGGAGCTAGAAACCGAGCACATATTAAGCGATCTTAAATCGCAAAATCTCCCGGTTAGAGAAGTGCACAGGATGCACCACGCTACCAACAAAAAACGGTACCTAGATCTTTGCCTAATAATTTTAGACCTGTCTCCAGAGGGCAAAGAGATATTTAATATCACCCGGATATGCAACCTCACGTCACCTCACGCCACCGTCAAGCATCGGGACTGACCTTTCGTTGGTGTTCAACTTCGCCAGCAACATGTGGCTGAAGTCACTACCTTAGCCCGCAAACTTCGCGAAGCCCAGTCCGTACAAGATAGGCTCAATGCTACCATTGAGCATATCAATCTTATCCAAGCGATAGGTTCGTTCCAGTGCGCCTAAGCCAATTTTCTTTTTTATAATTAAAATGGAAACACGACCTATAGGTAGAACCAAGCCTAGGTCTCTGACTGTCGCGTTCTTTAATGCTAACGGTATCAGAGATCAAAAGGAAGAGATCATGTATTTTTTACGCGACCATGATATCGACGTCATGCTAGTGCAAGAGACCTTCTTGAAACCTAGTTTGAGCGATCCCAAAATAGCCAATTATACCTTAGTAAGAAATGATAGGCTGACCGGACCTATAGGCGGCACCTTGATCTACTACAAAAGGTAATACTCCGCCGCTTACTAACTTAGAAGCGTCGGTCTGTGGGATAGCACTTACGGACCATCCGCCAATAATAGTTGCATCAGCATACCTGCCTCCATTAAAAAGTATATTAGACACCGACATAGCGGCTCCATTAAACCTAGGCCCTTGTGTATTAATCGCGGGAGACCTAAATAGCAAACACGTTAGCTGGAACTCTAACGTTAACAATCCTAACGGATATATTTTAAGAGACCTCACGGAGAGACTTAACTTCGACGTTATCGCTCCCGAGAGTCCAACAAGCTATCCCTTTGCAGATAACCAACATCCGGACGTCCTTGATATAGCACTGCTAAAAGACATCCGACTTACTATTAATTCGATAGAGGTTATTATCGAACGTATCAGACCACAGGCCAGTAGTTTTACAACTGGGCGTCAGACAAACCATTGTCGACTGGCGTAAACTTGAGGTTAAACTTAAGTCTACGAACTCCCAGCATTTGGACACCATTCCTGACAAGATAGACTCGGTAGAGGAGGCCGATTAGCGCCCTTTCGACTCACCTCACATCAGCGGTCGAAGAATGCTCCCGTAAGGTTCGTGTGTCGAGCGATCAATACGCGAAACTTCCGGCGGATGTTCGACGGCTGATTAGAGCGAAGGATTTCGCGCTTAAAAAATATGACCGCTACCGCACGGAAGCCAATAAACTTCGGGTACGTTCTCTACAAAACGAGATTAAACAACGAGTAGCCGAGTTTAGAAACGATAGCTGGGATAACCTCTTAGAAGGTATCGAACCATCTCAAGACGCCTTCTGGAAATTAACGAGAGCTCTTAAAGCCGACAAATCCTCATCAATGCCGCCTCTCGTGAGGCTGGACACCCCGATCTCGCCCTAGACGATCTCGAAAAAGCCGAATGCCTAGCCGACAGTCTAGAGTACCAGTGCACGCCATCCACTGCACCAATAGATCCCGCTCACCTACTAGAGGTAGAAACGGAAGTAGAACGTAGGTCTGCGCTACCACCAGCGGGTGAACCACTCGATCCTGTGACAGTAGATGAAGTCACCGAAACCATCAAAGGCCTTAAGAATAGATCAGCTCCTGGGCCAGACGGCATCAGCAACAAGGTGATCAAATCCCTTTCGGCGCCACTTATTTGCCTCCTTGTAGGTATATTTAACACTTTTCTCACGAACTGCTCCTTCCCGGACATCTGGAAAGAAGCAGACGTAATAGGGATCCCAAAACCGGGTAAACCGCGTAATCGTCCCTCTAGCTACAGACCCATTAGTCTGCTCAACACTTTGGGTAAGCTATACGAGCGCACTATTCACGACCGTCTCCGTCATTACACTGAATTCAACAGACTCCTCCCAGACGAGCAGTTTGGCTTTAGAGCCAATCACTCATGCACCCACCAGATTCATCGCCTAACAGAATACATTCTGTCTGGCTTCAACCAAAACCCGATAAGGAAAAAGGCTCGAAACACGGGAGCCCTCTTCTTCGATGTCGCGAAGGCGTTTGACAAGGTCTGGCACGACGGCTTGATTTACAAGCTGTACAAATTAAATGTGCCCGATAGGCTCGTGCACATCATACAAGCCTTCCTTTTGAACCACACTTTTCGATATATCTGGTGGAGGGAACCCGTTCTTCAAAACGCTTCCACAAGGCCGGGGTCCCACAGGGTCCTATCTCCACTCCTCTTCACACTCTTCACGAGTGATATCCCTGAAGACCCCGTGGTGAACACCGCAGTCTTCGCCGACGATACGGCACTCTATGTCTCGGACTATAGCAAAAATAGACTCTCGTTAAAGCTCCAAAAAGCGACCAATCGTCTTGGTGAATGGTTCCGCCTATGGAGAATTGACGTGAATCCCGAAAAAAGTATAGCAGTATACTTTCAACGGAACTCAACAGCAGGTACTAAACCAAAAACGATTTCTCTATACGACCGCCCAATCCCTTGGGAAAAATCGGCCAAATATCTAGGCGTCACGTTCGACTCCCGCATGAGTTTCGCGACGCACGTAAGTG